GCACATTTTTAACACACTGTCACAGCAGGGGTTTTTCTCTCACTGTAACAGAGAACCTTTGCAAGCAAACACAGCAATGAGACTTTGAAAGGGTAGAGCAGCGAGAAACAAAACTATTTAGGTCCTAATAAGAGATAATGAATGCACTGTTAGAGTTAAGTCTGTGGATGCAGCAGAAATAAGTAAGAAAAAGGGTTCAAATGGCCCATAACTCAGAAATGTAATCATGTGCCTCTTTGAGAACATGAGCAATTCCATTAAACTAAGCTGCTTTAATTGCATTAAGCCTAGAGAGGCTACTCATATGCTTAAACTCAAACACATGATTAGTTATTTCCCTAAAAAAAGAACAGATAATTCAAACAAATGCTGTATGTATGCATTTAAATGTTTCAAGGTATCAGATTCAGTATTCTATGAACTAAAACATTCAAATTAGCTTTTTGGCAGAAAATCTGTTCCCTGGACGCAAAACATTCTCCTAAGGACACATTTGAACTACTACTTGAAATTATTTTGCTGAGAATCAATAGCTAATCTTGTAATAAGAGGTTCAAGAACAATCAATCACAACTAAGTGAAAAGTTCATGTTCTACATACGTGTTTGATATGCTTCAAAAACAACAAAAAGCACGTTCTTAAGTAAATTCAAGTAATAAATAGGAGCTGATAATTCTTTGCTCAGCTCTTACCAGTAAACTGCTCTTGCAGAATTAAAGATTCAGACACTAAAAAGTGATTATTTTTATACACATACAAAAATTACTACAACACACAAATACTTACTGTTCAGACTGTCACAGGAGTCTATTATGCATTAATTAATGTCTCTGATCATATACTGATTAATTATATTCATCTTGCCATAAGTTATTGCACTTTATGCATCATAAAAACTTGCTCTTTTATGCTGCTCCTTCAATTTACCCTATACTTTGTTTTGGGGGCACTATTATTGCTTACATTAAACAAACAAATGACCACACGAGTAGGTCTGAAACTAAAACAAAATGTTCAGCAAGATGCTCTTGATGTCTCCACTCTGACAAGCAACATCTGAACTTGAAGAGGTCAACCAGCCAATAAAGAACTGCATTTCATTCTGTGAGAAATGTGAATGGGGAGGAAGAATAATAAAGTGGTCTCATGACAAAAAAAAAAAAAAAAGAAAAAGAAAAAAAGGAAAAAAAAAAAAAGAAAAAGGAATTTTGTCCACAACTTCCTTTTCTGTTTTGGCTTTTAAACGTGAAGTTTGACAGATGCTGCCTTCAGATTGGAGCACTGGCTCACCCCGATGCATATTCTGTAGTCATGTTTGAGTCAGTATTTGAGAGGACCTGTTGCCATATGGAAAATCAGGAACAATTACTCTAAATAATTACATCAGTTTATTGCTGTCTGTTGCCAAGAGAAACAAGCCTTGTTGGTGATAACCAACTTGCGTTGCCAAGTAACTTAATCTATCAGGAAACTAAATATGCTCCAGGCCCAGCACTTCTCCAGCAATAAATACCCTTTCTAACTGATATCATGATGACTCAAAGTGCATCTTTGACGATTTCCTGAGGTAATCTCTGCTCGGTTATGGGCTGATGGCCTTGGAGGTGTGAGTTATCACACCAGGCTTGAGACCTGCAGAGATGGTATCTGAGCACAAATCAGTCAGCCTGGGCTTCCCTCAGCCACTGGGGAGAAATCAGAACTTTAAAGGCAAGTGAGATGAACACTGAACAGACAAGTTGAACCACCATTTCTCCACAGATCAGGAGTCCCAGTGGAGGTGGTGTCAGCTTTGCTGAGCTCTGGAGTTTAGGGGAGACGAAGCCACGTGAAGTCCTCTCCCACCCAGGCTGCCAGCAGCAATGGAAGCCAGTCTTTGTCAGCGTGATTAAACCTTTCCTTTGGCAGCAGAGCCTGGCAAGAGGTGAGCCTGATGAGGAGCCAGTTCCATAAAACCTCTAGGCTGGGACTTTCAGACTACAACTGCCCAGGTTTGAGAGCAGCAACACCTGCAAGTGTGAGACCTCTCGGTCAGGTGCTTACGGGCAGATGTGTTTGCCCGAGTCACCAGGGAAATGGAAGGTGGCACTGGCACCTTCCTGATGCTCCTGCCACAGTCACTTTGGGCATTCCTCAGCCAGTTTGCCAGGTGTTCCAGTTCACTGTCAGTTGTAAATGTCTAACCCTGCTGTTTAACTGCTGTCATTCAAACCAGTCAGACAACAACTCACCGTTTCTCACCGCGCTTTCCAACTGAATTTCTTTTCAGCCTGAAAAGACAGCACGGAAATTCCTCCTTTTTTCTCTCTCAGCTGGATTGAGCAGGTTTCCCCTCCACAGCTCCTAGCGCTGCAGTTCTCATTTTCTGTCTCTGAGACCACAAACACAGCCCTGAAGGAACCACTTCTGCCTCGTGTCCCACTCGAGCGCTGCCAACAACCGCGACGTGGTGACAAAGTGCTTTGCTGCCTCACCAAAGTCACGCCGTGCCATCTGAATTGAGCTCAGTGTTTGTGAGAGGGGGCTGATAAACTCCTCCTAACACACTGCAGCTTTGCCCTCAGCTAATCTCAATGAACTGCAGCGCTCACACGGGTGCCTGGCAGGCCCTTTGTTTGAGGCTGACGTTACACGAAGCGTTTTGCAGTCTGCAGTGATTCCTCCCTGAGCCAATTGAACTTGTTGATTCAAAAACTACCTTGCAGTCCTTGCTGGCAGCGACCTGACAGGAACTACAGAGCTTATTGTGTTTGATTTCTCCATGTTCTGTCACCGATTCCTTTGGCTGTGCTCATCCACCCTCACCCGTTAACAACCTGTAATCAGCACCCAGGATCCTTTAGTGCTTGGAGCCACGGGGGGGTTTTTTCACTACAAAAAGCCCTTCCCTTTGCAGTTGTCAGAGTAGAACCTTCTTTTGTTTTGTTCTCTTCTTTTTTTTGGAAAATGATAACACAGGTAGAATGATTTCACACTAGACATATAAACCCCTTCACCTGTATAAGGAATACTGATGACAAGAGGATGAAACTCGGTGCTACAAAGGCTTTACAATTATCTTTTTTTTCCCAACAGTGCAGTTACTTTCTCCATGACATCCCCTGTACACAAAACTCTAATTCATCATGCCTCACTGCTGTGCTGAATCAGGGTATAAATACTCTCCAGAATCTGATTTGAACCGATATTAATGCCCTCCTTATTTAAAACTTCTTTTAAAGACCCATTTCTGTAATGATATCTACAGAAGAAGAGCTATTCTGTACATTCTGTTTACCCTCTATTATATCTTAGTGACTTAATTTAGTTCTGCGAGGAAAGATGTTCTATCAGAGCATATTTCCCCATAATAATTTAATAATTTAACGTTTCCAGATGCATCATCCCATTGATTATCATTTTTCTCCACCACTGTCACCTTTGTCAGGTCAAATCCTAAAAGTGTAATGTAAAAATTACTTGACACAAAGAGAATCTCTTAGGCAGAGTGTCTGGAGAAGTCACATTTTCAGTACAGAGCTACACCATTCCAAATCTACAGCTGACAGTATTTGAACTAAGGACATTCACTCCTCACTGAATGGATTACATCTGATTCCTAGACCAATCATTCATGCATGGATTTACTTATGTGCACACACATAGTTTCCTTTGATAAAAATTAATATATATTAGTCTGCAGGGTACAGTGTGTATTGAATCAATGCCTCGTAATACAAATAAAATATCTAAGTAAATAGAGCAATCTGTGTAGCTTCTCTTCTACTTACAGAGTTCTTTCTTTGTCTTCATACCTCTAATAATGCACAGAAATTGGCATTGACAATATACAGTTATTTGCTTCCTAGGGTTCTATATTTCCTTTGTACTTCTGAAGGTCACAGGGACTCAGCCAAACCTGAAACAGTCATTTTGATTCCCAATTTTTTCATTTCACTACCAGGTAATTGTCTTATAGATTTTCGTGTAGATTATTTACTGTTTTTCTTTTCCTGTTGGATAAGTATACAATAACTAAACTAACTTCAATTAGGTAACTGTCACCAATATTTAAAACTTAATGACACTTTCAAAATTACATAAGTAATCCAAGCATAAAAATTATTCTTTATGGTACCATTTCAGAACAGTGGCACCAAATCCCTATCGTGCAATAGCCTGTGTCTCAGAAACATTAAACACAAACCATCATCACATTTTTCTTCTATGTAAGTTCTATATTCCTTTAGTTATATACAGTGTCCTTTCTATATTTGGACTAAAGCATCCTTAGGAGATACAAAATGGAATATTCAGCATCTTAATTTAACCTTGCTATATTAAATTATCTTCTTAGCTACTCATATGTAATCTTATATATTTTAGAAATATCAGAATTTGTCCTTGTGTATTCAGCAGTAGCTTTGTGCCTGCCTTACATTTCCCCTCCAGACTATTCTGAAAGATGATTCACTCTCAGAGGCCACCATCCCCAGAGGCTCATGGCACTGTGATGTAAAGACCTGCTTGGATTTAAGCACACATTTAAATCCAGCATAAGTCTGTGTGCTTTGCAGTATCAAGAGTGTCTTAAAGATAAGCATATGCCTAAATATTATGCTGAGCTGGGGCTAGAAATAAGGTCTATCCTCTGAAGGAGCAGAATAGTTCCAATATCCCAGTACAGATTAAGGATGCTGTGTGAGATTTAGCTTTGAATAGAGCAGGAAGAGGAAAGTATCCCTTAATAAAAGGGAAAAACATGAATCAGCGAATGCTGGAGACTGTAATAAGCAAGAAAACACTTTAGCTCCTGCTGAGCCACAGGTTTCATCCTGTGCAGCATTTAGCTTTAATAAAATATAGTTTAACTGGCTGCATTCAAGAGAATGAGAAGCTACCTTTAACATGATTTGTTTTTTTATTGAAGAGGAGTGATGTCCATGTTCTGGGAGAAGTCCATGATTTAACATTGCTTGGATGAGATTGTTACAATACAATTTGAATGAGAAAAACTTACTTGAAGGCATTAGCATCTCCATGGACCTTGTAGTTGTCTGCACTGATTCTGGAGATGACTCTGGTGACAGCGATGAGGATGCCAATATTGACCTGCAGAAGAGGAAGGAATGAGACTTGGTAAGGAAAGCAAGTTCTGACTGTGTCAAAGATGAAGGCTGCCCTAGGAGGGGATTGTACAAATACAACAGAAAACAGAAACTTTGTATTTATTTGGCAAAAGAGATTTTTGGTGTTGGACTATTATAGTTTGCCCCTGGTCAATGATTTCTTTCCCCCCACAGTGGGTAATTCTTGCTTGTGTTCTCTTTCCCTCAGGAGCAGTCCTTGGGAAAAGTCTGGACTGATACATTGCTGCACAGCCAAAGAAATACTCAGGATCCCTCCTGTACAAATCAATCCCTTAACAGCCTTCTGCCAGCTGCCAAAACAGACAAGAACTTCACCAGCCAGGCACGTGCCTTCTTCATCCTCTTTGGTGTTGTGCTTGCCTGTGCACAGACTCCAGGGTGCACAACTCCCTTTTCTTACCAAAGTCTGCTTGCAATTTAAGCACAAGACTATTTTAAAACAGCAATGAGAAAAATACGTAAAGCCTGAACCCTGCTCTTCAAAGGCCCTGCTCTTTTTGATGTCGGGTCCAGTAGAAACATCAATCAAATGAAAAGAATTCCCAGCAGAAAAGTAGGAAATCTTGAATAGACTAACACTGAAAATGCCCAACAAAAGAAAGTTTGTGCTGGAGTCACAGGTGAAGGAAGAAGGAAATCACTCAAAGGAAACGTGGTAAAGATTGTCTTGCTGTGCAAAGACCTTGGGTTTAAAGGAAAAAGAAGAGTCAAGAATGTGAAGGTGAAAGACATATTTCCCCCTTCCTGCTCAAATTTATACCTCAGCTACAAAGCACCAAGTTAAGGATAAAACTATCCTGAACTACAGAACAAAAAGAAAGAGAAGACTTCAAAAAAAAAAAACAGCAAAAGACAAACTGGACAAATTAGGTGGTTTTCTAACACAGAAGTTGTTCAGTGTTTATAGCTGAATTTGAATTTTTTAATATAAAAGAAATTAAATATAAAATCAATTTCCTAGGCAATCTGGATGGTGTAAAGTGGATTTCAAAGGCCTTGGTGCAGTCAGTGTGACTATACCCTTTCCAGGGTGCACTGGTAATATGTCTAAAAGATGAGAAGGGAATATTGTGATCTCACTGCTGATGTAGAAAAAGGTCCTCAAGTTCTGAAGTTCTGTATTTAAATTTCCTGAACCACTTAAAAATTTTTGCTTAGGTATTTTGAGAAATCAAAGTAATCTCATCCAGCTTAAATAAACAGATTAGCTACAAATGCCTGCCTCTGTTAATGCTTCAGTAAGTAAAGCATGGAGTTATTTCCACTGCCCTTACAATGGGAAACCAAAATACAGCCTCTGAGTTGTTCTTCCAGTGATTTTTTTGGCATCTGACATAAATGCTTTGCCAATGATTTGAATAGGAGAATGTTAAGTTGATGAAACACTCATTATTCTTTAACCTATATCAGAATGTTCAAACTAGGAGAATAAATATTTAGATAAGGCCACTGTATACAGTTCCTACCTCTTCCTTTCCTGAAAGGCCAGATAGCCTGACAATGGCAGTTGTTTTGCCTTAAAATTAGACAGGAACTTTAGAATGGTTTGGCTTCCAGGTACTGGCCACACTCTACTTTAAAAAAATATAACTAATAGCATTAGTGCTTGTTCACTAATTCACAAGACTCCTTTCAAGGCGTCTTGTCCAAGCCCAGGCACTCACAGCTCTCTGCAGAGTCAGCAGGAGCTGCCAGTTCCCATCACTGGAGGTTTGATCCAAAGCCCACTGGAGCCCACGGAAAGGGCCCGATGACATCAGGGAGCTCTGGCTCGCTCCAGTGGCAGCTTCATCTGACCAAAAACTGTCAGATCGGGCAGGGAGTTAAATGAGCAAAAAGAACCTCTTTCAAAACCTCTTCTCGTCCAAGTTTTGCCAGACCAGATGCAGTGAGACAAATTCTTTGCCTCTCTCCGGTTGCTTTGGAGGGGTTTCACCAAGATTTCCTCCAAGTCACATGAGAGTTTTGTTTCTTGTTAAATACAGGGCAGAAATCCCATGTGTAAAACCCTCTGATGTGGTGTGTCCCATCCTAGCCAAGAAAAGGCTTGGCAGTACAAGGGAACTAAAAAAAAAATCAACCTCAACATATTGCCTTAATTAAATCCATTGACCAGCTTTCCTCTAAAACCACAAACTATTTTAGGCTCCACTTCAGTTTTGGGCAATGGTACAGGGAGTTTAAGTGACTCTTCCAATTGAGGTTTAACTTACTCTCTGATGGTGTGAGTGAACTTGATCTTTACCATGACATCACTGGTCACACACATCAACACTGCAGCCCATTGCTGGGGCACAGCAGAAACCATTACTGGGCAATAAGCACTTCCAAACACAGCCAGTCGATTGAATTAGATGGATGTTAAAATTTGGGAGAGTGGTTTTGGAAAGCCTGATGCTACTTTTAGCTATCCCAGAGCAGCTGCAGATGGAATAGACTAAACTGAGTTATTTTTGCAAATTAATTTGGGTTAATGCATGTAGTGTCACAACAGTTAGACCTGAATATCAGAGCAAAGCTTTGAGGTTGGAAAGGAAATACAGAAGAAAACAAATAAAGGAGCCCGACTTCCACACTTTCCTAATATTAATCCTTAATATTGAATCTGTGCCCTTGTTCAAAAAAATCTTGCATGCTTTACTGTCGGTTAAGTAAGAAGAACTTTAACTTAATGAAGGAATTTAATCTTAAAAGAGTAAAAGTGCTCATAGCTGAGTGCTAATAAGAAAAAAATGAGAAGCTTAGCAAATGAGGTCTAATCCACCACAGCATTTAAGTAGGTACTTGATTTCAACCAAACTGAGCAATCCTGCTGTCTCAGGGCCTTTAGACACTATGGGTTCAACTCTGCCACCTTTTCCCATGATGAGTGATGCCTAATAAGGAACACAAATTGTCACTTTTCAATCAGTGGGAGTTAGACTCACAGTCTAACTGTCCATCATAAGGAAATTATCCTAATTCTGCACTGGTAGGAATAAACACCACAAGGAACTTACTAAACCTTTTATGATCAACAGGTATAGGGGAGATAATACTATTTTATAAATTGAGTATTCATGGGCAAGTACCAGCTGAAGACAGTGATGGTAACCTCAGCCCAGGACCCAAATTCCACAGGGCCCCATCTGAAGACTCTGGTCATAAAGCTGATGGCCCCACAGCACAGAACTGTCAGCAATATGCTGATGAAAATCATTTAGCCCCATAAAAATGCTGTTTATCCGAAAGGCTTGTTAAAAAAAAACCACCAGGAAAATCACTACTCACAGGGAAAACAATAGAAAGGCCTTGCCACTACAGCCCAGCATCTCCCCCTGCAATGGATTGTTCAGTCTGCAGTTCACCCACTGCTCCATGAACACAGATGCTTTCCACAGAATTTCCTTAATTCTGCCATATCTATGGAAACACACCAAGGCAGCAGATGGCTGATAACAAGCAAAAGCCTTCTGCCAGAAGTTCTAATGTCTTGTATCAAAAATTCAGGTGCTTTCTCAAGTGTTTTCTTTTTTTTCCCCACATGTCCCAGGCCGACTTTGGCTGAGCTTAGTTTGGCTTGCAAACTAATTGCAAGAATTTTTTTGTGAAGCTGCCTTAAGAGGATGATATAGAGGCCCCTGTGTTGTGGTTTGGAGGGTGGGGGAGAGTGATCTTTGAGATGTAGGTGGAAGCCAAAAGACCTCCACATAGAAGGAACTATTTCCTTCGTCTCATCCCTTGACTCAATCCCAAGGGAAGAGCAGGTTGGGAATGGGAATCCATACAGGGTTGGGAGGTTCTGTGAATTACTGCCCAGAAAAGTATGTGTGAGTGCTTTTTCCCAGTCACACTCCACACACATCACTCTGTTTTAAGGCTCCATGATGTCTGTATTGCCTGTGAGGATGTGGCAGGACAGAAGTGAACTGTGCCTGCCTTGTCTCGAGGGAGTGGGAGTTAAAAAGAGCAGTCCCCCTGTTTTCCTCACAGCATAATCCTTTTTCTTGGCAGAGAGGAACTGTGGATGGAACCAGTCAAAACCTGCTTTTTGAGGAGTATTTTCAGAGTTAAACACCAGTTCATGCAACTGGTGGCTCATTTGTTATTTAAAGAGCACAGGCACACACACACACACACAAAATAGTGTTTAGCCTTGTTATTTCCCTATAGGCACTAACACATTTTTCAGCTGGAATATTCAATGCCCAGAGAGGGTAATTTGTCAGCCAGCTTGCTGCTATTTTGGGCAGAGCTGGGTTCAGACTATTTAACAAATTGCTCTACGTGAATCAACCTTGTGAGCTCACTCTTTCTGAAAATATTTGTATCCCTACAAGAATATAATTAGGGCTGCACAAATGTTATATATCATAAGTTAGAGCCAGACAGCTAAACTCTTACTTTCACTGGCAAGCACCTATGCATGCAAATTGTTGAAGGCTGTGCTTGCTCAGGTGAGTAAGCATTTCACTACCTGGTGTGTTTTGTTTAACACCATCTTTGGACAGCAGCTTGGAAAGGTTTGATGTTATTTGCTGCATCTCATTTCCTCCCTCGATGCTGAACAATGACTAAAAGCAAGTGCTAATGCGAGCAGGAGACATATGAATATTGCACTACTTTAATTGCTCCCCAATCATCAGTATCTATATATCTTCAAATACAAACTCACATTCAGAAGGTTCAAGTTACAAGTCAACAAGGAATTAAGTTTGTTGGGACAAAATCCAGAGCTGTTTAGCCAGTTCTAACCTAGTGATCAACATTTGTTATTTACATGTATATGCTTTCACCGAGGTAAAAGAAATTCTGTCCTTACTGTTTAGGGACTTTCAAGTGCTGCCATTAATAATTTGATTAAAATGCTAACATGAGACAATTTCTGTCACATCAGTATGGCAACCATTTGCACTGGATTTTTTAATATACCTTTATCTAACCTAGTTTTTCAGGGGCTGTATCGTGGGTGGAAGGTGCTGGGCTGGGCTGCCTGGAAGAGATGCTGACTTCACTGTCTCCCAGGCAAATGTTAGGATGTCCACTCACCCACAGCATAAAATCCCCTGTGATGGTAAAGGTCAGCCAAGGAGCCATCTTCTGCTTGCCAAATAGTTACAGGGATATGCAATGGTAAACATTAGTTTTATTTATTTATTTATTTGTCCTTCCTTCCTTTGGCTTGTGAGCAGGATTTGTGAGGGGGGGTTTTCTGCGAGATGAAATCTGGGGATGTTCATCTTCACTGGGGACACTCACAAAAGCTTCAAACACCAGTGGGATGGAATTAGGCTTTCAGCTCTTACTGGTGTATATGAAACACAAACCACAGAGCCTGTTCTTTTGGGGGTTCTTTCTGTCCTTTGGGGTTCTTTCTGAGAACTGTTAAAACTCCCAAGTTTCCTTGGCTCTACACAATTATTAATGACACCAACGGGGCTGCCTCAGTATTTTAGGTCCCATCTTTCTCTTGCAACAGTGAAATTAACAGTGTGAGAATTAATATGCATAAATTAATACCCAACCATGTGCAATGAAAAAAAAAACCAAACAAACAAACACAAAAATGGAGGAGGAACCAAGCAATTCTGGAACATTCATGACTGCTGTTTCAGTGGGCTGGCACAAGGATTGACCCCAGGCCTTCAGCCAGTGCTGCTGTGTGGCTGACAGGGACATGCAACAAGAAAACAGCAGCTGCTGTGGTTTTACCTACCAGAATGACAAACATCGCCGGCGCCACAAAAGCCCAGATTGCTCCATTCTCCAGTGAAAGCCAGCAGCTGCAGGGAGAAACGAGAACCATTTCAGATGAAACACACAGCCATTTAATTAGCAATGTTCTTAATTTAAAATAGCAGTCAGAAGAGAGCGCAAAAAGACGGGTGAATTTTAAAAGCACGAGACACGATAGAGCTCCTTCTCCCCCTCTCCTCGCACTCAGGGAATCCAAGGCAGGATCTCATTTGGATTTGTGTCTTGCAGGGAGTCAGTGGCAGCTCTGCCCCAGCCAAGGCACCACACACAAAAAATAATGTTTGCTCCAAAGCTTCCGCTTACATTTTGGTAGGATTAAATCCTATCTTGTTCTTTCAGTTAAATTCACCCTTCTTTTCCTAAATTAGAGAGGACCTTAATTTTCCAAATGTTGGACATTACCCATTCTAGATCTTGAGATGTGTAACTGCAGTTTTCTTCAAAGGATTGAATATCTTTCATCAAAGATTACCCTGAGCAGGGGGTGAGCAGGGAGCTCACTGAGGAGGCCTCGTGCCTCTGCAGTGAAAGATAAAACAGGCAAAACGTCTCAGGAGCTTTTTGTGCATCATCTCAGCAGTGAAGAGCAAATCTGAGGTTTCCATGCCTAAGAAAATCCCAGAATATGTCTAAGAAACAGCCATGCTTTTGCAAGTTATCTCCCCTGCTCCTCAGGAGGATCCTGCAGCTCCACAGCCCTGTTAACACATCTACGAGTTTCCTCCACGTCACATTTTCCATCCTTATTGCACCTGGAGTGGGGGTATTTTCGTACTCACTTGCCACTTTCTCCATAGCTGTGTAGGGATGATGATGCAGAAATGACACAAATCACCAGTGGGCAGCCTGCAGAAAGGCAAAGGCAGTGGCAGTATTAGGAACAAAAGCACATCTTCCAGTAAACCTGGCAAGTTCTGTTAAATTCTGTATTAGCAGGACAGCTCAGAGTCATTTTCAAATTAAGTCTACTTGACATCCTCCTGCAGCTCTGTAATCCAACTTGCTTTAGTCAATTGATGTCAGAAAAAGAGAATGACTTTTCAATAAAACACTAGTTTAACAGTTAGATTGCATTAGTCCAAATTTCCTTGAAAAATCATAGTCCTCTTTCAGCCTGGTTTTTGTTTGTGCAATTTCTGCCTCTTGCTGTTCAGGCAGCGCTACCACTTGAAGCAAAAATCGGACTTATTTTAACCACTTTCCCCCAGGTAAGTGTGGTTTTGTTCAAGAACTCCAAACAGCTTAGAAGAGGAAGCAGAGTTTCCCTCAGGGATGCACAAGCAGCAGGTGAGAGAGGACAGGAACAGCGACATTCAGTTATCCAGAGCATCACACCCAGCAGCGAGAGGCAGAAGCCAGTTCAGATCCCCCTCAGATGGCCAAACAAGACTTATTTTAACATAAATATGTAATAGCTCTACAAGATTTCCGTGTCTCCAGCAGGCTCTGTTTCCAGGTGGGGTTTGGCACTTGCGGAGTGCTGTGCCCTGGGAGGTGGGGGAATGTTTTCCAGGCTGATGTGGGAATTCCACCGAGGCAGAGAGCTGTGGTGCTGCTGCCAGGGAGCTGTGTGGCTCCAGCCCCAGCACTGCCACGTCCTGTTGTGCCACTTCAGAGCAGAATTCCAGGCCAGGAAGTGGGAAGGAAGCGAGGGGTTTTATTGCCAACGGTTCTGAACATGGCAAAACCTCATCCCTTTAAATGTTAAATGATTGTCTGCTAATTCCTGTATGATTTAATAAAATGGGAAGGGTTGAGCTTTTATCATCTTACAGAATTTAATAACCAGGTCCCAGACAGAGTATTAGACATGATAGCTTAAAGTTTCAATTTTCTGTTTAATTCTTCAGGTTTTCTGCATGAGGGTTTTACAAAATTCTCTGACAAGTAATTTCTACTTAACTTTACTGCTATCATCCTCACAAATTCTATAAAGTTTTCCTATAGTGGCAGAACTATAATTTTTGGAAGAAGTATTTTCAGTCTTTAATGATTGCAGCTAGAAGCACATTTATAGATATTTATATTTTTATATGTATATGTATTTATACAATGGAATACTCAACAGTTAAGAAGCATCATCTACAGGCACTGTTTAGGTCTTAGACTTTGAAATCCATCCTGTAGGATGGAGTTTAATGTCCCCTGAGCTTCATTCTGCTTTCTCATGCTTGTCTGGATCAGGCATAATATCTTTAACGTAACACTTGTGTAAGACCCAATCAAAGGCAAGATTTTAGTTTCCTGTCTCCCTTGTCTATTTAAGAAAGGAAATTCCTACACACAGTTGAACAAAATCAAGAATAATTATATTCACCAGAGCAATTAAGCACAGATAATCAGCATGCCATGGATGTGTGAGCTGCCTGGATTAAAGGTCCCACAGGTTTGTGTTCACGCTCCCAAACACATCTTTGGTTGCAGAGTAAATACTGAATATAGATCTTGTCTTCTGATGCAAGTCATCTTCCCACAGAAGGGACTTTGTCACTGAAGCAAAAATACCTGTACCTAACTAATTCTTCTTTATATTTCTAGTCTATCTTTTTTTTTTTTTCACCCAGTCAAATGCTGGATATTCAAAGGATTTATCACGACTCTTTATCAATTTTAAATGGCAGTGAAGAAGAAAATTAAATAGAGTTCCTTTGGAAGCTTATGCAGATGAAACATAGAGCAGTCACCAGCATTAGAAGAGCTGTTAAGTCAGTGAGAATAAAATGATCTGCAGCCTGTAGTGCACTGTTTGCCTTTTCACTGCATTAACAAAACACTAAATGGATAATGGCAATGGAGGAAGAAGCAAGGTTTTGTTACAGTAAAATAAGGGTATTTTTCCTTTAAGAAACAACTATTCAATAAACTCCATAAAGATCGAAAAAAATATATATATTTTTATCCTAAGGGGATCATAAGATTTTATCTGGATTGAAGAATCCCTATGGATTATACATTATACACAAAAATAAGTGTGTTTGCTCAATCTTTTTTCAGCAGTAATTACATAGGAGCTGTGAAGTTTAGCCTACACCCATAACACATCTATTCTAACCCAAACCATCCCACGATTTTATGTTTCTGAGGCACTACTGACAAATAAAATGGAAAATTCCTGTAAACCTGGATGCTGTATTTTGAAAGCTTCCGTGTCTTCTATATAAGGAAAAGAAAAAAACCTAAAATCAAACTGGCAGGTTATAGAAACTCTATGGCAGACAATTTAAAGCAATTTTAGGACATTAATTTTAAAAGGCTAAATATGTCATCTACTGAGAAAGACGAAGCATTAGACACAAATGAAAGTGTATTTCCTTCCAGTGATGAAAAGATCTACTTTGCTTGATGGGAAAAAGTATATTCTCCCATTTATACTGTAGAAATTCATTTTCTATGATTTTCTTCTGCTGTGTTATGTCATATCTAGGCAGAAGTCTGGGACTGCATCAAATAACAGCAAATAAAGAGATTTATGTCTTTTGACAGCTCAGAACAAAGTCTTCATTCCGTGACAGTCTCTAAAGGAAAGGAAATTGGGTGAAATAGGAAAACATGCTAAGGCCAAAGTGCCACAGCAAAATCTCCAGGATCACAAACTCTATCATCAAGAGTCCCAGAAATTCTAGGAGGGAAAAGCTTTGCTACAATAATCTCTGTGTGTTGTGCTGAATCATCGGGGCAAAAAAAGAAGGCTGTTTTTTCCCCAATCGATTTCAAGGTAATTTTAATGGTAGGATACTATCACCTTCCTCAGATTGCCTTTTTTTTCTTAAATTCCTGACAACTGCAGCCTTTGAGTTAATTTTCAGCACCCTTGGGACTAAAGGTAATCCATGGGACCTTCAATCAGCTTTGCACATTTGGTGTCCTGTCCCTCCCATTACCACTGAACTCATTTTACAGCAATAGCACCTCTCAGATCCCTTAATAGATGTTCCCAGCTTTGTGGAGAATTCCTTGTCCCTCTCTCCTCACGTGGCCTCAATTTTCTATTTGTCATTAACATTTGCAAACATTTAAAATCAGCCTGGCGTTTCTGCTTAGGCAAGAATGGTGGGCCTGGGTTTTTAAATTCAGGAGGAGGGTTGTCTTTATTCCAGGATCCATGAGTTTGCAAAAGTCAAACATATTCACACTTCAGCTGAAAGCACAGAACCAATAAATGAACTGTCTGTTTTGACTAACATGAGATAAGACATCCTTGTCTTAAATTCTTTCAATCATCTTAGGTCAGTATAACAATTAGGTAAGCTAAAGTATAAAAATATAGTGCAGTGAGACCTCCCTCCCAGAGTCCTGTTCTTAATTTGGTAATTAAGGGTCTGATTTGGCCTTGAGAGGTCGTGGAATTCGCTGCAGTGGAATTAGGTTTAAGGACTATACATTTTAAAGTCTGATTACAGTCAGAAAAATTATGGATTTTCTTATCCAACAGACCTACTCTCAGAAGGTAAACTATGATCATAAGATGACAATTTCAAATATGAATATAATCTTGTCCTAGAGTGAGGAGACTTAAAGTAAGCAGCTGCTAAACGCTTACCCCATCCAACTCCATAATAGTATAAGTGCTTGCTTTCTTCTGACCCAAATACTTTGATCACCATACTGTAGAGATGAAATCCTTCCACCAGCATCCATGCAAAAGCACTCAGGAAGAAAAAATGAAGGAGAATGGCCAAGATCTTGCAAGGCACCTAAATTAAGAATAAAAATTAACGCTTTACTTCTTTGTGACACACTCACATTGGTTCTCCACTTTTTTATTTATTTTTCTATATACATTTATAGGCTAAATCACTGAAGTAAAAGTCTTAAAAACAAAGCACTAGACAATTTAATTTTTCTACAGCATTTTCTGGTAGTTTCAAGTCCCCTTACCTTTAGAAAAAAACAGAAAAAAAATAATCAAACAACATTGCCAAAGATGATGTGGAAATCCAAATGAGTTATTTGTTTGTAACAGGAGGAGCAATACTCCCACTAAATATTTAAGAATTCAAAACTGAAGTGTCTACATCCAGCTCCTGAGCCTGGAGTAAGTGCAGGAGTCAAAGAAGTGGAGTACAAACACTGTTCTGTACCCTGCCCCCTGTTCTGGGATGGGTAAACACCCAGCATAGTTCATGCCTCTCTTTATATGAAGAGCTGGTAGAAAGTCAGTGAAATAGTTAAACTTGAGTGAAACACGGAAATTTTAAAATAAGGTCCCATATTGAACCTGCTCTTTATTTATTCCTTGCCACATTTTATGAATTCCCTTTGTTGCTTTGGCTTGATTGATCTACGTTGGTGTTTTATTCCTTTTGTTGATGTTTTGGGATTTTATACAATAATGAAAATTAAAACATTGGGACTCAACAGCACAATGAAAATTGATGCTTTCCTGTACATTCTCACTTGCACTCAGTTGGTTCTGTGCTAGTGCAAAGACACTCTAATGCAAATCCAATGTGAGTAGATGTATTCAAAAGCAGTAAATTCGGGTTTAATTCATGTAAGTGAGGTCTGTATGTGGTTTAGTACTTCTCAAAGTTCAGTGACATATTATTAAACCAGATTAGCTTATTGACAAAAACTGTAAAAGCCTTTCCAGTTAGTTTTATCGTAAGGCTATAAAATCCATTTTAATGCCTTTTGATTTCCACCAGAAGATTAATCCACAAAAATATAAATGCAGCATAAACCTGACTTACAGGCTCGTTCTGTCAAATGGATACTTTCCAAGTTTCGAGTAGCCAAACAATATGAATCACAAAACAGTAGAAAAATAAAACACAGTGAAGGAGCAGGAGGATGCTCTGTACGTAATTCTCTATAACACTCAGTTGCAGATTTGTACTTAAAATCCGTTGCAAAGTTGCTACTCTTTCTGATTTTGTGCCTTAATGATGGCTTAGAAGTAACTCTTAAATGACAAAATTGCCTTCTTGAAAAAGCACTGAAAAGCTGAACCTTTCTGTACCATACCCAAGCAGGTGTCCCCTGCTGTATCATAGGATGCACCCTGCTTTTAGCAGAATCCTTGTAAAAAGGCACATCTCGTTATTGTGCTCTTACAGCTGACTACTTGTGAGTCTGTGGAAATAGAAAAATCAGCCCAGCCAGCAGCAAGGCCCATCACATTATACTTGTTGCGAAAGCGAAGCAAACTCTCAGAAAGGCCTCTCAGAAGATATCAGCCGTGACTCAGAGGATGGACTTAGAACAGACAGGTCATTTTATACAGATATCATAAAGAAAAGCAGCTCATTCCAGCTCTCCATTTGGAATTGTTTTCAGCAGTGCCATGCAGGAGTACTGAGGGAGAAACAGCTCAATACACTGATCCAGAACTGCAAATAGCAGGCACATTAAATTTCCTGATTGTGCTGGAAAACCACAAAGCTCCTTAACACCTTATATTTCAATTTGCATTTCCCTACATTTAAATAGCACTTCAGGTTTTCCCACAAACACGCTCAGACCTTTGGAAGGCTTTGGGAGCCTAAAGAAATGTTGATAGTTAACTACTTTGTTAAATGAATAGTGATCTCTAGCCTGTGGTATAGTAAGTAACTAAGAGTGCAAAACTCTCTGAAGAAACAAATTCATCTATTGCTGACAGTCTGAGGGAAGTCATCAGACTGCCACATGGATAGCAAAGATATCTTAGAGACTTGGCAGCATAGGAAAAAAATGTTGTGTGCAAAAAATATTTGCTTTTTCTGGGAGAAAGACATCCTGGTTTCGGGAATAATTGCCTTTCTGGAATATGCCATGATCATTTAAGACTCCTGTTTTAGCACTACTGATGTTAAGTATCAATGACCAGCTTTTTATAAAGAAATCAATCGAGTGTATTACAAAGATCAAAGTCCTGTGTGTGAAAATAGAGGTTCGTGGTTAGAAAGCAGTCTTACTCAACAAAAGGAAAATTGCTGCAGTATAAACTGTAAATTATTAAACTACACATCTGAAATTACATGGGGAATGCTGTATGCCATATCTGGAATCAAAAACTAAATATCCCTAGAGATGGAGACAGGAAAAGGATGGAGAGGCTCAAAGCAGTCACGCAAAGAAAGTGATGCCAGCTCAGGGCCTGTTTTTCCAAGGCCATTCCCTGTTTTTCTGCGTTTCCTCAAGCCAGGGGGTACCACAAAGGGGTACCACAAAGGGGTACCACAAAGGGGTACCACTGGTCCTCTCAAACAAGGGCACTTCCAAACTGCCTGGCACAAATACCCCATCTCTGGCAGACGCAGAAGATTAGAAATTCACACCTTCCAGTGTAAATACTGCCTCCCTCTTTCTGTAAACGACCATTTAGCAGTTCAATTAAAGCTGCAATTAAAGGTATTAAAACTGCTGTCAAAGCTGGTGAGAACAGAGCATGGAGTAAGGACAGCAGACTAATAAAAGGATGAATCACAACCCCCCTGATCCCGGGGGGGCTAAAACGATTAAAATAAAAGCGCAGCAGACAGTGTTTACATCACATTCTCCAACTGTAGGATCTTCACAGTGTTATGCCACACAATTACTGCTGTTACAGAGGAGGTAGGGCTGAAATATCCATGGATTCTGTGAAGCATTTCACTTCTCAAAGCCTGTGGTGCAAAGCAGGGCTTGCTTTCGGCGTGCTGCTGTTCCAATTTGACTAAAGTAGGTTTTGAATGGGTTTAAGAGAAAATATGCACTTATTAAACTGCAACTTCGGTGGGTGTGAGCGCTTCACAAGTGACTAAATGAGCAAGACATCTGTGTGTGAACAGGGCACACTGTAAATGCAGGTGGACACTGGGACAGGTCTGTGGAGAACACGAGCTCTACCTGCATCCAGCAAAACCAGGAAACACAACCAGTGTATTTTAAAAGACTGTGGGTGATGCTGGCCCCTTGATAAGGAGTAAAGAGGCTTTCACACACTATCTGAAACGACTCAGCTGGATTGTCTGAAATGGATGAAAAATGAAAAACTGTGAGAATAAGACACACTGTTACACTGAGTGAACCTATTATTGCCCTCCAGCTCATGTCCTTTCAGCAAGGTTTTAGATCTCTACTTAGAGAGGATTATTTTCATGCCTGGTTTCCACTGCCTTCAGTTTCAAGTTATATCTTTTGCTGCTCTTCACTGTCTCCATTTCATTTTCCTTCTAAACCATTCCCTGCCATTTTCTCCCTTGCACATTGCCCCACTCATTCAGGACCCACCTGAATGTTAAGCAGTAAAAGAGTAAAAACTTGGTTTTACAAAGTGCTTTTGGATCCTCAGGTAATGATAGCCTATGCAAAACCAGACATTATTGTTATTTATAAACCTAACAGAATTTCAAGGGATCCCATTTGAGCTGAATATAAATTTAGGTATCTGTTGTATTGGCAAGATGAAGAATGTGCAAACCTCATCTTTACTTGCACTGAGAATAAACAGAAAAAAAAAAAAAAAAAGATTAATAGAAGCCACTCACTGCTTCTGAAAAGTAATATGGAGCAACAGCTGGGCACCAAACTAGCCAAGTTCTGATCATTACAAAAACAGAGCACACTGGAAGTTTATTGTAAAATCAGATTTTGTTTCTGCTTTTCAGGTGGGACTTTCCATCAACAGACCTTATGTTACTTTAAATTGCATTTTTTAAACACAACAGTGGAAAGAAATTGGTTTTACTGGTATGTAATACTGTTAACTTGGCCTATTTGTCTCAATCTAACCCAGCTGTTTTAGATGCCAGTTTTAATGGTTTAGATCCTGGGACCCCGCTTGAGGAATTCCCACCTGCAGTAGCAGATCCATAAAATCGATCTGTAATTTCAAGTTCCAATCTATGTGATCAGGCAGAAGAAAGCCCATGTTTGCACAGAGCTTAAGTACCTTGTAAGCAATATGAAGGTGTTGTTACTTAAGTGGCTGCCTTAGATGGCCAGAGGAATATATACATGTTTTACAATATCTTGGATTAAACTTGGATCAAACTCTTACACAGTGATGCTTCGTGCTTTCTGTCACCTCTGGCTAATTAAACAATAGTTGCTTTACTTTTGACATTGATTATTACACAAATTCTACTTCAAAATCATCAAAATCTACAGAGTAGAGACTATCATCAAAAAGTCTGCTATTCAGAAAAACAGTGTGTTCTACCCCACAAAGAAAACTCTATGAGCAAAAAAACAAAAACCTTCTGTTTTGCCCTCCAAGGCAGTAGAAGAAATTGCCAAAGCTCAATCAGAAAGCTCATTACCTTCCATCGAGAATCAGAAGACTTTTTAATGTGGGGGAAAGAGAAAAAAAAAAAGGGAGGGGCAAAAATGTACCAGAGCAGAGAGCAGACAATTAAAAGAAACCAACACTCCCACCAGAAATAAAAAACACAAAACCCAACCAAACCAACCCAAAACCTTAACCCTAACACAAATACCGTACCTAAGCACACAAGTCATACAATATTCTCCAACAGAGAATTCCTAAAGTTTTAGGGGGAGGAGAGAAAGCATCAGCCATGTCAGGCATAATCAGCCATGACATTTGGAAACACACTGAAGTGCACTCCATTTCTACAGTGATTTTTCCATTTGATGGGGGCTTTTGGTGTTGCTTTTGGTTTGGCAAACATCCAGATGCCATGGCAACACCCCCTGGGTGCACAAAATGCTTTATCCAGTGTTGGAGGAGGGCAATTTTTTGGCCAATAGGAGACCTCACATGGAAGACACTTTCTCGCAGGTGGCACCTGGCATTCATTCCAAACAAAATTATTCTTCTTCTTAGGACTTACAGTTCCAGGGCTGAACTGGAAGCTGGTGAGGAGCAGGATCTGGGCCACCAGGACTGCAAAGGACAGATTGGCGTGGATGTGATAGCGCTGGTTGCGGATGGTGCTGACGGAGCTGGGAGAAGGCAGAAACACATGTGGATAAAACAACATTTCCAGAAGCATTCCAAGAATATGTTTACGATTTATCAGCAAGCTTGTAGGTTGACTTTTGTTTATTGGTTTTGGTGGGGGTTATCATGATGCCTTTTTTGCTCTCCTTCCACCAGGATGGAGCGGTACCTGAGTGGTTGCTTGGATATTGTGCTGTGCTGCTGTCCTGAAGGCAGCAGAAAGATTGATTTGCACATGAAAGGGCTCTGCTCCTGACTGGTGACAGAATATCTTGAATGGTGCTGTGTTATTGAGGAGGTCAGACCTGCACCTCACAGAGAGCACTCTGAATCCTGCACCATTCAGCCCATACTGTGCCACAAAATTCCTGGATTTATTTTGCTGCTATTTGCCTGTATGAGAAATAAAGGAATGTGGGAAGACTTATACTATTATAAGCTTCTGAGCACAGGAACTATAGCTCCACATGCAGATGGGCAGTGCCTATCTTGACAGAGACCTGACAGTGATTACAACATCATTTGAACATATCTCTTTTGGTTTTGCAAAAAAACAGCTGGAACTCTGACAAGAACATGCTTTCCTGGAAGTCTTCAGACCTCGTGTCTGTGTTCTCATCTAGAAATGGGAAACAGAAAACAAAAACACTGATCTGAACATCTCAGGCCTGCCCCACAATTTCATTCTCTGCTTTAAAAACCAATATTGGTGATAACAGATTCCCTGTTTCAATCCATGCTGCCTGCCAGCCCCTACCAGCAGTTTTAATCATCTCAGGACACCCCAGGCCGCTGGTGATGGGAACTGTTTTGTGTTTCCTCCACTCAATTCCGTGCATTCCCATCCTTTGGTTGTGTCACACTGGATGGGGGTGACTCTTGCAGTCACTGTGTGTGTCCCTGCAGCAGAGTGGCATGGACTGGATGATGCAGACCGTGGTTGTGCCAGCCCTGCTCTCCCAGCACTGCCGTAGCCAGCGCTCCATTGGAAGAGAATGAGGAGGGAAATGACAAGAAGCATCTGCGTCCTAAAAGTAATTCAAAGAGGCAGGATGTGCTACCTGGTGCCAATGGCTTTCTAATAAAGAGCTTCTTGTGGTCAGAGGCTGGAGCAGCATTCCCCAGGAGGCGAGCAGGACTGCCTGCCCTCCCGGGAACCGCCCGGCACGGCCGGCGCACGGAGCAGCGAAGAACGTGCCAGATTCTTCTCCGCTTACGTTACGGTCATCTAACACCACATTGCAAAACTTCACCTCAGCTGCTTAACGAGACCCCGCTCTCCAGTGAAAACCTAACCAAATTGTTTGTGATTGGCAGTTTGAAGGACCCTGTGTGTAGGTGGCGTGCTTTAACCCTGTGACAGTCAGCCGGCCCCAAGTTCCCTTCCAAAAGTCTTTGCCTCCAGTTTCTTCGGGAGTTTTCAGCCCTGCTGCAGCAACACCACCTCCTTTTGCTCCTTTTTTTCCTTTCCACACACTAAAACATCCAATTTTGCCTTCAGACAAAAAATGGAGTGGATCATTCCCCTCAGCCTAAATGTGCCCACAGCGCCGTGCCAGATAGGCAGACGTTGGACTTATTTAGAGCGGATTTTGCCACACGTTACACTCTCAATCCAAGTATGACCAACACAGATCTCGAGACTTGGAAACAATACGGGGTTTGGAACAAACAAACACTGCAATCAGTTTACTGTTTTTACAGCAAGTCCTTTTTCCCTAGAAACTGTTCTCTTAACAGGATGTCCAAAATGCATTCATAGGCACAGGAATCAAATACTGAACTCCTGAGTAGGAAGAATGTGGTTTAGTGTGTGAAAGGAGAGAAAGAATCCCATTCCTTGCTGCTCAACCTCAGACAAGTTGCTTCACCTTTGTCAGGTTTGCTGGTGTTTATTTAGAAACAAACCTCTATGAAATCCTCTTTCTTGGAAATGTTTGTATCAAGGCCAGCTGGGCCTCAAACTCAGTTATCACCTCTGGAAAATAAACAGGCATAAAGACCCCTGAGTGCCCTGTGGCAGAAACCTTCCAGTACAAAGAGCCCTCAAAGGGGCTCCCCTGTTACGGGCAGGAGGTTGCAGAGGTGCAGAGGTTTTAAACACGAGATGTGGAGTGAATTTCTCACTACTTACAGTGTCCCTCATCCTACTAAAGCAACACATTAGGTAACCAGCCTAATGGAGAACAGCAACTTGAAAATAAATGTGGGGTGTATGAGGTAATTGTGTACATGTTGCATGAAACAAAAGGCAGGCAGCTAATGCTGACTGAGACTTCCTTTCTGGGCATTCCTGTATAAACACAGACCAAAGCAGCTGAAGAGCAGACAGAAGTACTGACTGTACACTCCAAGCAACCCAAAGATGTGTGTGAGGGGAGCAGAGGGAGTGATCCTGCAGTCCTTGCTCATATTGTACTTGCTTTGAGCTCCCAACCAAGCCATCCTACTGCCTCCTTGCAAGACTCCTGAACTGTAGCAAAACATGGAGAGTTTAAAAAAAAAAAAAAAAGTCTAAAAATCTCTCAGAGGATGGAAATAGCTTGCTATATAAAGACCACCCCATTTCAGGAAATGAAAGTAATTTAGAAATAACCAACCAACTGTTACAAATACATGTGCAGAATCCAATTAAGGGAGGTTGTAGAATTAATAGCCTTTGTTTCATCCTGAGCACCTGAAGGGATCCTACTCAGTGGCCTGAAAAGCACTGCTTCCCTTTCTGCATGATAGCTGCTCAGCAGGTATTAAGTTAAAATTACTCACGACAATATAGCAAATGTGACCAGCGTGATCGTCAGGCAGAAGATGGACAGAGCACAGCCAATGTAAGTGATGGAGGAGAGGGCCACCTGGTGTTCTCTTGCTAGCTGCACACAAAGGAAAAAAAAAAACAACGAAATAACGATAATTAATTGATTTATCACACCTCAGAACCACGGGCCGGCGTTTCCCCCTCCAGCCGCTCCTGTGGAAGCTGGTGTTCACTGACATTCCCTGTTGTAACTAGAGGGGGAAATGAGGAGCCAACTCCAAACCCAGTCACTCAGCCAGGGCATCCACGTGCCCATGGCATTTAGCTCCCCCTGTCATGTCCTGAACCAGGCTTTCCTCCAGCTGTAGTTGCTCTGCTGCTGCGGTGTCGCCCAGCCTGAGATCAGAGCAGTTTATTGGGCTCACAGACAGTGTCAGTGGTGGGATCTGTCACAGCTCCCTAATGCTCTCACACTGCAATAATTTACATCACTGTGCAAATACCAGAAGTGCTTCGCAGCGGTGAGAGCTGACAAACCCAGATAAGCCATAAATCACAGGCCATTTATAGCCCGCTCGTTTTGTTTAATTGTATCGTGTTTTCAGCGGCTGGTGAAGAGCTGGACTGACATCTACAGAATGGAAAACCCCAGAAAAGACCCAGCACGAGCAGTAGGAGTGCAAAACTCTCTGTTGTTATCTACAGGCACCTTTTGTAGATGTAATTCAATTTTCATGAACACTTAAACTGTAACTCCACAGTGCTCTCCACTAGGATCTGTGTTAAACCTGGATAGAGTCAATGCTGGAGGGACAGTGTGGTTTGGCCATTCATCTTAAATTAATCAGAGAGTGTGTTTTAATTTTCCATGCAAGTTCTCGTAAAAGAATGACAAAAAAAGCCCCACCCAACAAAGGGAGCCAGGAAGCATTAATATATAATAAGTAGAACAGAGCTAGGCAGGAAAAGGTTTTCTCATCTCAGAAGAATTTTCAAACATTTTTTCCTGACTTGAATTTGGATAGAGTTGACATTTTCATAAACTGAACATAAACTGGGGGGGGGGAATACGTAGTCAATCAAAAAGTTTTAATTTTGATGCTTGAAATACTACACTTTAATTTCAATCTCTGCTCACCATAAATAAAATTCCCAGCTGAAAACTCATACAAAATATTTACTTGTTAGAAAAAAATACTGAAAGGAACAATATATTTTCCAACTCTTTCACAGTAACTTTTACCTAATTAAAACTAATCCTTTCTCACATGTTTGGGATTTTCTATTGTTTTCCACACGCACAATAAAATTTCCCTCCCAAACAAAGTATTTCATCAGAGATTATCAAACCCAAGCAGCCCCACCAATAAACTTCCCATTAAAATTCCTTTTAAAGGAGAGAAGTAACGTGCCATGTGGTTATGAAGAGCAGAAACACAAAAAGATGTGCTGTATATGTACATTTTTCCTGTAGTTGTCTGCCAACAGAACCAACTCATGTACAGTGAGTTTTACAGCAGAATAACTTGTGGCTCACTCAGCAATCTGAGAACTATTAAGGGATGCAGCAGCAGCACTGAAAGACAACTGTTGCTATGGTGTTACAGCTCCTAGGAAATATGATGCAGCTCTTGAGTGGTTTTTTTCTCTTCCAGCAAAAGGCACATTTCTTTTCCCTGACTTGGACAGCATCAATTAAGAAAACAAAAGAGTTCTGTGTGCTGGACCAGCTTAAAAGCTCCATATAATTCCTACAGAAGAGATCTTATCATCCCTCATTCCTCAGAGAAGCCATGTAGAGCCATTCTTCACAGAATATTCCTGAAATAGGAATAATCTCTGTGGTAAATTGAGCAGTTTAGAAGTGATTTCCTCGTCAGGGATATTCATGCCCAAAATGGATGGACCTTATTTCCTGATATCTCTGATACACATCCTTTTCTCTGGCTACAGGTGGTTTGCAATTCTACAGAAGGAGAAGGGGAGCAGAGGAAGCTTTGACAGCTTCAAATCACTCTGAGATCAGTACTTCTCAGCAGTTCAAAGCTTTCCTTCACTCCTTTCACTCCCAAACTCCTGCAGCCAGAAAATGTTCCCTGGAGAGGCCGGAGCTGCTCAGTTCTCATCCAGGTTTGCAGTGATCTGTCACAGCGTTTGCATTGGCAGAGGATCTGCAAAGGGAAGGGCATGTCTTAACCATCACATACAAATACAGAAGATATAGAGGAGCAAACTAGTGGAAACTGGCAAAAATCATGGAATCCCAGAATGGTCTGGTTGGAAAAGACCTTAAAGATCTCCCAGTTCTACTCCTTACCTGGGCAGGGACACCTTCCACCAGCCCAGGTTGCTCCAAGCCCCGTCCAACCTGGCCTTGGACACTTCCAGGGATGGGGCAGCCACAGCTGCTCTGGGCAACCTGTGCCAGGGCCTCACCACCCTCACAGGGAAGAATTTCTTCCTAATATCTAATCCAAATCTATTCTCAGTTTGAGGCCATTCCCTCTTGTCCTGTCACTCCAGGCCCATGTAAATAGTCTTTCTCCATCTTTCTTATAACCCCTTCAAGTACTGGAAGGCCTCAATTAGGTCAGCCTGGAGCTTTCTCTAGGCTGAACAATCCCAGTTCTCTTAGCCTTTCCTCATAGGAGAGGTGTTTAATCCCTCTAAAAATCCAAGTCTTTGTTTTTTTCCATAGTAATCCAAGAGAAGATGGTGATCACACAAACACCTTTTTCTCACTAATTTCTATCAAAACTAACATGCCTCTAAGACAGTCTTTCTCTGGGTTTTAGCTCAATCTTTCTCCAGAAACTCCTGCAGGGCAGGACATGATGAGAATCAAGTTCTCTCAAATGTAGCCTGTATTACTTAGAAACAAAAAAAAAAAAGGGGGAAAAGAAAATCTCTTAACAATAAAATGTAGAAGATTCTCTGAAACCTAAAATAACCTACACATGGCCGTGCATCTGCAACTGGAAATTGCTCTTGCTCTGGTAAACACAACCAGGATCTGATGATGCTTTAAGGACGATGCTCTTCAATCAATACCCACATGAGTCTGGTGGGAGCTACTTCAAAAGCAGCAGTGCAGTTCACCTTCTCACCTTGCCCAGTGTGAGGGACAGAAAAGCTTGCAGCCTTTTTCCTGTTTCATCATTAAGGAAGCAGTGGAGCCTGTGATAGCTGTTCTCAAACTGAGTTGTCGGGTTAGAGGGGTTTAAGAGAGGGTCCCTGTTCACAGGAGCTGGTGAAAACAGCTCCTTCCCATGGATAATGTGAATCACAGGGGGAAGGATCCAGCAGGGAAAAGAAGGGCTGGGGTTATTCCCAGGGTGTGCAGCCTTGTCTCAGGGCTATGGGGCAGGAGAGAAGGGAACTTGTATTTAGGATTTCAGATCTCTGCTGACTCCCCCCAGCCCAGCTGTCACAGCACACGTGTGGGGTGCTCCCACTGTAAGGGATAACAAGCAGCAGTTTGAGTACCTGGATCCTCAAAGCGTGGTGAATCATCGACTAAGAAACAATTTCCCATAAATTCCAATGCTCTGATACGGGCTGATTTCATCTTACCTCAGCTTGTCTTTCTGAAAGTTTTCAGACTTCCTGCGTGATGTGGAATATAAAACAGCAATTTGGGATGATCTTGCAGTCGGCACAAAAGCGCTAATCAGGCCTTAACGTTATTATTAAAGAAAACAGCACGAAAAAGTACCAAATAAAACATTGAGCAATCTGCAAAGCAGTCCCATGAGCCTGATTCTCACACTTGTCCCAGTCTACATTAAATTATTCTTTTCTTCTAACAGGTTTTGCTTCTTTGGGTTTATACGGTCATTCTCTCCCTCTGCCTCAAGCTGAAAAGCCAGGAAACGAGCTCATGCAGCCCTGAGTGCTAGCAATCACAAACACTAAAAGGCAGATGTTTCCCAGTTCCAGCTTTGACAAAGTCAAATCAAAAATTCCTGCCTCACATAACACTCCCACCCTTTTAGTTTGTGCTGCAACACCCTCTACCTTGCAAGTGTTGCTAACAGGGTGGGCAAAGAGCTGGTGGTTTCAGTAGATCCACCCATCTGTGGTATTACACTCCATTGTCTCAGCCTTGTTCTCCCTCGTAAAAGAAGTTAGTACATTGCTCAACACTTTTATTTTGGAAACTCACAGGCAACTGGATGGCCTGAGAAATGATCCTGGAAAGACACCAGCTCAGACTCCAAATATATAGTTTTCATTTACGATGCTGCTCATGGTGACATCCAACGCCTCTGTTTAAACAGAGCTGCACGGGAAGATGGAAATAGATTCTTATGATGGGGTGGTGCTTTTCATCCCTGGAGTAGCTGGAAAAGGTCAGTTCAGGCTGAAAGATTGTTCAATAGGCTCTTATATCTAGGACAGAAACCCCAGTTGTTTATGTAAAGTTACTGAGTGACTGTATGCACTGCCAAGCACACCAACCCACTGCAAAGGTAGATGGGCTACAGGAACACACCACAGCAACTCAGAGCATCTGCCTGGGCCACACAGGGCCCTCTGCTCAGTGTGCCCTTCCTTTGTGTGACATTTGCACCCCTGCCCCTTTTGTTCATTGTTCACCTCCAAGGCCACAACTTCTCTGCTTTGCAAAGGGTGTACTTTTGGCTCTCTCCGAAGAAAGGGACATTTTGGGGAAGCACTAACCTAAAATTGTCTTCTTCACATAATGCAAAACATCCCTCTATGTCTGCCTTTAAAAGCAAAAAACTCAGACAAAGGGCTGAGTTCAAATACTTCAACCAAGGTTTGTCACAGCTGATCCTGAAAGGGTTTGTCCCTGTTCCAAATTACAGCGTGGCCATTTAGACTCCACAAGCAGTAATTTCACTGTCTAAACTACTTTAGAAATCTCCTTTCTGAAAAGCAATTCATCTTCTTCTAGATAAAGACAAGTTCTTGAACCAAAAAAAAGCTTCACAGCCTTAAAGAAAAAAAAAAAAAAAGAAAAAGGAGTCCTGCAAGCTAAGGATTATATCATACCTCCCATTTGTATTTTAGTGTTACTTGCTGGTAGAACCCAGAATATGATATCTTTGCATTTGCTTATATAGTGCTTACATTTTGTAAAAATCAAAG